CAACTCCCATCAGCCCCAACCAGCATGGCCAGTGGTCATGGATTATAGAAGTTGTAGTCCAGCAAAATCTGGAGGGCACTACACTGACTGGCAACAGATGCAAGGAATTGAACCTGCGACCTTCTACCACTGAGCTACAGCAGTTTCCTATGTTCCTCATTGAAAATGGGTGAGTCCTCTTCTTCCATATCATACTGTCATAATTTCTATTGAAATGAAACAAAAGCTCATTCTTTCTGCCCCTCTCTCGTTTGTTTGCTTATTTAGTTCATTCTTAACAATTGCACTGCCCCACTGGGGGCCTTTTAACGTAAAATTTATCTTCCTTGGAATAACTACCAGACGTTTTCGGCATTTGCAATTCATCTCCACCTCTCCGCCGATGCTCTAATCTCATTTCTGTTGAATGTATTGTTTTTCCTTCCATTATTTATAAAATGAGGTCATTTATAATGAGTATTGGAGCTTGACGGAGCTACGCGCACACACACCCCTTGTGGGGTTTAGAAGGGGGAAGGAATCTCTGTGCTCTGGACAGATGCCAAATTTAACATCTCAAGTTACTTCCTTTAATAACCAAAAGCTTATATGTAACAATTCGCTTGAGCCCATTTCCAGTGTTTGGGAGTTACAAGATAAGACATTAAAGTGAAAGTTTGAAGAATGTGGGTTTTAAGACAAATTCTATGCTTTTCTACAAGATTATATTTTTTTCAGAAAGGAACTCACACCTGCTACCAGCTGCTGTTTGGGGGGCAGGACTGAATTAACTATTAAGCAAAATGTTAGGATTGAGTCAAAAATATATGCTGTTTTTCATGAACACATTTGGAAGTGGCAAAAGCGACCTATCCCTGACAATTTGTTAGCCATTGTTTTAAAAGTATGTAAGTGTGTGTGTGTGTGTGTGTGTGTGTGTGTGTGTGTAGGATAGTATGACATATCAGTAGCACACATAAATATAATGGACTAAATCAGTGATGGCTGGCGGTGGTGGCCGGTGCCCATTGGAACTGCAAGGGCAGAAAAGAGGAAGGTCAACCGTAGGTGGAGCCAAGTGAACAACAGGAAGAGACAGAACCAGCGACAGGTGGAGGCAACCCATTTTATTTTTGTCCCCTTCCTCTTCCCTGTTCTGAGAAATACTGAGACTAGGGAGGAGGAAGCTGCCAACCAGAACCACCCCCTCAACTGGTCATTGGTGGATGTTGGCTGAAACCACAGCGGGGATGGTGAGCCAACGCTCTATCCACCCTCATGGATGAACCTCCACTGCTGGTTGGTGCTGCTGTGAGTCGTAGTCCAAACCATTTGGAGGACACCAGGTTTGGGAGAGGCTGGTTTGAATATACTGAATGATACCCAGCTCTACCTCTCTTTCAAATCAGAACCAGTGAAGGCAATGAAGGTCCTGTGTGAGTGTCTGGAGGGGGTTGGAGGATGGATGGCGGCTAACAGATCGAGGTTGAAGCCTGACAAGACAGAAGTACTGTTTTGGGGGGACAGGGGTAGGCAGGTGGGGTGGACTCCCTGGTCCTGAGTGGGGTAACTATGCTCCTGAAGGACCAGGTGCACAGCCTGGGAGTCATTCTGGACTCACAGCTGTCCATGCAGGCGCAGGTCAATTCTGGGCCCAGGGCAGCTGTCTATCAGCTCCATCTTGTATGCAGACCGAGACCCTACCTGCCCGCGGACTGTCTCGCCAGAGTGGTGCATGCTCTGGTTATCTCCTGCTTGGACTACTGCAATGTGCTCTACGTGGGCCTACCTTTGAAGGTGACCCAGAAACTACAACTAATCCAGAATGCGGCAGCTAGACTGGTGACTGGGAGTGGCTGCCGAGACCACATAACACCGGTCCTGAAAGACCTACATAGGCTCCCAGTACCTTTCCGAGTACTATTCAGAGAGTTGGTGCTGACCTTTAAAGCCCTAAGTGGCCTCGGTCCAGTTTACCTGAAGGAGTGTCTCCACCCCAATTGTTCAGTCCCATTGTTCAACTGAGGTCCCACTCCGAGGGCCTTCTGGCAGTTCCCTCCCTGTGAGAAGTGAGGTTACAGGGAACCAGGCAGAGGGCCTTCTCGGTGGTGGCACCCACCCTGTGGAATGCCCTCCCATCAGATGTCAAGGAAATAAAAAACTACCTGACTTTTAGTAGACATCTGAAGGCAGCCCTGTTTAGGGAAGTTTTCAATGTTTGATGTTCTATTGTGCTTTTAATTCTGTTGGGAGCCGCCCAGAGTGGCTGGGGAAACCCAGCCAGATGGGCGGGCTATAAATTATTATCATTATCATTATTAGCATTATTCTGAAAATACCTATCTATACCTTACTTGCACTTCCATTGACACCTGATTCCCTTGGTCTTACCTCCCTTGTAAATCCCTCTACAACTGTCTTGTATGTTTACTATAGATAGTGAGTCTTTTGTGTAGGCACCAGATCAGTGAGGGGATGGGCCATAAGTCAGGGTTAGACCCCAAACTTCGAATATAGAGTTCCCAAGATTCAGTCCCAGCATATCCATGCAATAAGGATCAGGTGATAGGAAGAGCCTTCTCTAGCAGAGACCTTGGAGACTGTATGTGTGCGCATGGGTGCAGGCTTGTGTGTTCCTTGCGCTCTGAATTCTTCCCATTTAATTGCTTTGTGATACCCTGTAATTTAGGGTGCCATACAAAATAAAGGAGGCTCATTAAAGGAGGACACTAACCATGTCAGGAAAAATGAATTGTCCCATCATCGCTCTGATGACATTTCAGCTGGTTAGGTTAAAAAACAAAACGAAACAAAAACTTCAGCTGACATTCAGGACAGACTCTGGTGGATACAGGGACTCTTGTTTTGGGGAAAACACTCTAATTTCACCAAGTTACAGCACCAGGAGAGATGGGGAACAGAGCCACTCCATTGGCTCTGCTGAGAGACCAGCTCCATTGGGCTCCCCCCTCTGTGAACTGTTCCCATCACAGCTGCAATTAGTACCTGAGTTCGTGTGATTTCTTCTTCCGGCCTCCTCCTGTTTTCCTTTGAGTAGAAAATATTGGACTAGGTGGATGAAAGGTCCCATGGACCACAAGTCAGGGGGACCCTGTGGCCCTTAAGTTCCCCCATCCAAATGTGGTTGGATTCTTACAACTCCCATCATCCCTGACCACGGTCTGATGGAAGTTGGAATCCAACAACATCTGGCATGCCACAGGTTCCATATCCCTGGCTAGCACTGGACTCCACAATGGTTCTTCCTTACTCCCATTTCTGCATTTGTACATTTATCATTATTATTGAAATTATTATTAGAAACGAAACAACCATCCTTCAAAATTTGCACTTCTCTGAATTTTGCAATGCAGTTCTTCAGCAAGTCAGTGGGAATTCCAGGGTAAAGCATGCTTACAAATGTATATACTGTATTACTGAAAATTAGATACAAAAAGGCATTCTGTGTGCAAAAATGTGCACATTGGACAAAATTGCCTACAAAGGCATGTGGATTAGGGCAACTCTGCACTAGAACGCTGATGGATTTTTATGAGGATATGTCTGTCTACCTACTTGCCTGCCTGACTGCCTATCTAACCACAAACTGATGTAGAAAAATTGAGAACTGGATTTAAGTTTGGAAAAATGAGAAATGGAAAGAAACTGATACTGACAGATCTATCTATCCTAACTTGGTACTTTATAATGCCCTTGCGAAAATGTGACAGTGACACCAGTGGCTTTGGTGCTGAGAACTGTGCTAAACACTCTGTTCCCTTGTGTAGCCCAGATGCTGGTTTGTAGGCCCAGCATAAACTTGGACAGTTGCCGATGGCATTGTAGCCTTTCCTGTCTCATATGAAAGCTCAAGACACGATGATCTGGAACAGCAAGATAGTTCAGATAATTGGTTTAGATATGTGCCTCTCCCCTCAATTAAAATAAGATGAAAGGGTGTTTTGCTTCGCTAGTTTTTAATATGAGCAATATTAGCAGCATCTGAAACCCATTTTGCAGGGTAACTGAGTGAGTGAGTGTGTGTGTGTGTGTGTGTGTGTGCAGGCTTGTGTGTTCCTTGCACTCTGAATTCTTCCCATTTAATTGCTTTGTGATACCCTGTAATTTAGGGTGCTATACAAAATAAAGGAGGCTCATTAAAGGAGGACGCTAACCATGTCAGGAGAAAAAAATGAATTGTCCCATCATCGCTGTGATGACATTTTAGCTGGTTAGGTTAAAAAACAAACAACAACAAAAAGCTTCAGCTGACATTCAGGACAAACAGACGTTGGTGGATACAGGTATTCTTGTTCTGGAAAAAGCACTCTAATTTCATCAAGTTATAGCACCAGGAGAGATGGGGATCAGAGCCACTCCATCAGCTCCACCGAGAGACCAACTCCATTGGGCTCCCCCTCTCTGTGAACTGTTCCCATCACAACTGCAACCACTACCTGGGTTTGTGTGTTTCTTCTTCCTGCCTCCTCCTGTTTTCCTTTTGTGTCATGCCATTTAGATGGTAAAACCTGCAGACAGGTTGTCTTGCTTTTATTGCTGTTACATAAACTGCCCTGGGAGCCATTTAGCCGAAGGTGCTTTCAATAAACACTTTAAATCAATACATAGTTTAGTATTTTCGGTGTTGGGATTGTGTCCCATGTCATGTCGCTCAAAGGCTTGTATGATCTGCTCAAGTAACCCATTGAAATACGCAATTACAGGACGTAGGAAGCTGCCTTATACTGACTTGAGACTGTGTGGCCCATCTGGCTCAACAGAATCATCTCAACAGGAGGAATTACCAACACTGCATGAGGAATTAACAGAATCATCTCAACAGAAACTGTGGAGTGGAAAGGGACCATCTAGTCCCAACCCCTGCAATGCAAGGATATTTTGCCCAACATGGGGCTTGAACCAACAATCCTGAGATTAAGAGCCTCATGCTTTACCGACTGCTACACTGACTGTCAGAAGTTCTCCAGAAGTCCAGGCAGGGAGACTGTCTCAGCCCCACCTGACAATGCCAGGGACTGAACCTGGGATGTTCTACGTTCAAAGTAGATTCTCCACCACTGAGCTACCACCCTTCCCCACAGTTTCTATCACTGGTCCAATGCTGATTAACCAGGCCAAAGAGATAGATAGCTCAGTTGGTTAGAGTGTGGTGTTGACAACGCCAAGGTTGCAGGTTCAATTCCCGTAAGGGACAACTGCATATTTCTGCATTGTAGAGGGTTAGACTAGGCGATCCTCAGGGTCCCTTCCAATTCTATGAGAAAATGCCATCCACCCTTTGCTTTGTTGTTGTTTAGTCATTTAGTCGTGTGCGACTCTTCATGACCCCATGGACCAGAGCACGACAGGCACTCCTGTCTTCCACTGCCTCCCACAGTTTGGTCAAACTCATGCTGGTAGCTTTGAGAACACTGTCCAGCCATCTCGTCCTCTGTCGTCCCCTTCTCCTTGTGCCCTCCATCTTTCCCAACATCAGGGTCTTTTCCAGGAAGTCTTCTCTTCTCATCAGGTAGCCAAAGTATTGGAGTCTTAGCTTCAGGATCTGTCCTTCCAGTGAGCACTCAGGGCTGATTTCCTTAAGAATGGATAGGTTTGATCTTCTTGCAGTCCATGGGACTCTCAAGAGTCTCCTCCAGCACTATAATTCAAAAGCATCAACTCTTCGGCGATCAGCCTTCTTTATGGTCCAGCTCTCACTTCCATACCTCACTACTGGGAAAACCATAGCTTTAACTATACAGACCTTTGTTGGCAAGGTGATGTCTCTGCTTTTTAAGATGCTGTCTAGGTTTGTCCCATGTCTAACCCAAACCTAATGACAAACCCAAACCTAGACCCTTTGCTTACTTTTTCCTGTTATTTTTCCACATGCAGAGACTATGGAAAGCTGCTCCTGCTCCAAATTCAGAGCACTGAAGCTAGATGCAAAGACAGGGTGCCCTACTGTCAAACCAGGTTCCTATATCTTATTTATTTGAATTCATATCCTGCCATTTCCTCTGAAAAACTCAGTGTGGCATACATGGTTCCCCCCCCCCACTGCCCCGTTTAATCCCCACAACAACCTTTTGAGGTAGGTTCAGCTGAGAAGCAAGGGCAGCTTCAAGGTCACCCAGGAAGCTTCCTGGCTTGAGTGGGGTTTGAACCCTGCTTTCCCAGGTCCTAGTCCAACACTCTAACCACAACAACATGCTGGCTCTCCACTATGCCACACCAGTGTTACGGGGGATGTGAAAGGATTTGCAAGAGGAGGGTTCATGAATATTGTGAAGCTGAAAGCAAGCTCCGTTCCTCGGGTCTTTGTAATTTGTGGCTAATAGCATCTGGCCAGTTTTCAATACAAAGCAAGAGAAATCATGCGAAGCTATAAACGTCCTCGTGGAGCATGCCTGTGACGTAACGGGTGGGCCTCTCATTTCTTTGCCAAATTAAATATTTCCCTCTGTTGTTATGCAGATAAGAATAATATGAAATCTATGAAACCCCCTTGAGATCAGAGGAGTTTTACTCTCGGGGAAGTGTGTATACGATGGCCAGCAAAAAAGAGTTAGACAAAATTCCTTCCCAGAACCACGGTTTCTCTTCCCTTCTTACATCAACAAAGACCAGTATGGGATTCATCCTGCATCATCTCGTTTATCCTTTTGGAAAGATACACTTACTTGACTTATGAAAGCAATTGTGTTGCAATCTGCTTCATAGGGTTTTAAAAAAATCTTTTTATTAGTTTTAAAAAGAGACAATTTACAAGTCTTTGGGAACAACGACTTTATTCATATTTGTTCCATGCTCTCTTCCCCACATTTGTTTTTGCTGCTGGCTTTGTTGTGTTATACGTGCCCCAACATACTAAAAGTATATAGGCCCCATTGGAGAATATGTGTTTTCTTAGGAAGGCATGGCACAAAAGGTGACAGGGATGAGGAGGGTAGAGGAAAGCAATCAAACTTAGACACCAGTTCTTAGTTTTGTATGGTTGTCTCCGATGCTAATCCTACTCAGGGTAGATCCGCTGAAATTAATGGCCATGACTAACTTAGGTCTGCTTTGAGTAAAACTTAACTGGAAACAATGCTGGAGTGGAAACAGTTGCGGGACAGGAAAAACCAAAGGCTCAGTGCCAAAAGCAGAGATGGGTTCTGGTACCTCTATGTTTCTTTTTTAAAATTGTGACTGTCTAGGCTACAGTTCTAGGCTACAGACACCACTTTCTTTTATTGGTCTAGCTCTTCTGCCTTCAGCAGCAGCTGGTTTTAAATAGTTGTTTTAAACTATTTTACTGATAATTCATTTTTTATTCTATTTGTAAACCAGTTTGAGGTTTGTTTGTTTTTTGTTTTCTTTTTTAAAATCAAGCAGTATATACAGCAAATTTTCTGAAATAAAAAAATTAATTAAATAAATTTTATTGTATGCCAGGAAAAAAACCTGCTATTTTTGCACATGAGGCTGGTGTTACAGCTGCATTTTGTTTGTTTTATTAGTGGCAACATACCTGTGGACTGACCAAGACTAAAATACCCATCATCACAACTTTAGTAAACAGCCTTGGCCCAGGATACCTGAAGTAGCGTCTCCACCCCCGTCGTTCAGCCCGGACACTAAAGTCCAGCTCCGAGGGCCTTCTGGCAGTTCCCTCCCTGCGAGAAGTGAGGTTACAGGGAACCAGGCAGAGGGCCTTCTCAGTTGTAGCGCCTGCCCTGTGGAAAGCCCTCACGTCAGATGTCAAGGAAATTAACAACTATCTGACTTTTATAAGACATCTGAAGACACCCCTGTTTAGGGAAGTTTTTAATATTCTGTTGGAAGCCACCCAGATAATAATAATAAATTAGTAGTAGTAATAGTAGTAGTAGTAGTAGTAGTAAGCAGTGCTGTCTGGATAACAGATGCAGTCCTTTGATGAGATTCTGTACCCATCCAAGGAGTTAACCTTTCTATTTATTCTGAAACCTTTCTATTTATTCTCTGATTGTAGACCCTTATGTAGCCAAAATGGCACAACCTATGCGCAAGAGTGGTGATGGGATGTTGATTGACTGTTGGGGGAAGGGAAATGGAAAACTGGGAGGGGGAGAATGGAACAGAGTACCTTAGGAAAGGGCGTGGCTGGCTGAAGCTCTGAACAAGAGCACTCCATGCTGCAACCTTTTGTTGCAGCTCCCACGTATTTTACAAATGTGTTTTAAAAAAGCAAACAAATGAAAACCCTGACCTTTAGAACAAGCAGAAAACTCTCCTCCCCTCATGAGGAAAGGGGGAGGAAATGTAGTGAAAGGAAGAAGGGGGAGGGGAAGAGGGAGGAATATGCCGAAGTGCTATGTGCATTGCCACAGATGGAAGCTTGCACAGCTGTTGATCTGAAGGTCGCTCAAAAGAGCTGTTCCTTGGGGTCAGGTGAAATACCCAGCAAAACCGCAGGGAGATAAAAAGCTTTAGCTAGAAATCGTCTGCGGTGTGTCATTTTGACACTATGGAGAATTTATTATTATGGAAGCGTGAAGGACCAAACATGCAAACACTTTCTGGGATGACAGATTTATCACTCATTAAAACCAAAGGAAAAGGCAAGCAAATGCTAGATAACTCGGTGATGACAAAGCCAATCAGTAACTTCAGCACTTAGTCATAGCGTACCACATGCCTACTAGCCCTGAAGCAGCATAAAAAGATTTAAAACTCTCACAGGAGCCCCTAATCCAAACTTCGCCACCCTGGGGCCCTCCAGATGTTCTGGACTCCAACTCCCATCAGCCCCCAGAGCCCATGGGTTAGAAAGCTGCATTGCAAAATTTGGAGGCGTGGGAAGTTTGATTTCATTTCAGTTCACAGATGGTATCAGAAAATGCAGGTTAGGTAAGGTAAAGGTAAAGGACCCCTCGATGGTTAAGTCCAGTCAAAAGCGACTATGGGGTTGCAGCACTCATCTCGCTTTTCAGGCTGAGAGAGCCAGCGTTTGTCCACAGATAGCTTTCCGGATCATGTGGCCAACATGACTAAACTGCTTCTGGTGCAACGGAAACCAGAGCGCACGGAAACGCCATTTACCTTCCCACCGCAGCGGTACCTATTTATCTACTTGCACTGGTGTGCTTTCGAACTGCTAGGGATTCAAATCACCGACATTCCGATCGGCAAGCCCAAGAGGCTCGGTGGTTTAGACCACAGCGCCACCCACGCTTCCAGGTGGCTTCCAGGTGTGCCAACTCTAGGGGGTGGAGGTGTCATTAGCCCCCTCCTTAGTAGGGGGCTCAGCCCCCCGAATATGGAAGAGGTAGAGGAGGCTGAACTGCCAAGCTGAGTGCGCTGTAGCATCAAAGGCAGGCTCATCCTGAGCACGAGAGAGGAGGAGCTGCGGCCATTCAAGCTGTGCAGCGCTGATGGTGCACTGTTATGTACTGAGTTGAATAGGATCCAAAAGGCAGCAGTCTGATTGGTCCTAGAACAATAGGATCCAGAATGCAGCAGTCTGATTGGTCCACAGGAGCTACCCAATCCAGCTCCAGGTGGAAGTGAATCCACAACCTGATTGGCCTACAGGAGAATCCCGGAATTAGCCAATCACGTGGGGCCCATTGTGTAAATAATGTATATAAAGCAGACATTCTGGGGGAACTTCCATTCCTCCTCAACACTATGAGCTGAATAAAGAGCATGAAATCCACTCTTGACTCCGAGTATATTTCATGCACAAATGACACAATGCTGGCCCCACCAATCTTCAGCCCAAGGCAGCGTCTCAAGTAGGTTTACATTTAAACACAAACTGAATTGAACCCCTGCCATCCCTTGAAGATCCCTTTGGGTGCCATCTTAACTAGGCTTCCCAGCTTGTTCCTTCTGGCAAACAGCCCAGCTGCTTTCACAGAACGTTTCCACTCATTATGACCTTGTTCTTTCCCCCAGTCTATCCAGCTTGGGCCCAGCCCTAGCGAGCAGGAGTGGAGACCCTGTTTCAATCTGAGAGCCACATTCCATTCATGGCAACTTTCCAGGGGCCACGTGCCAGCAGAGACAGAGGCAAAAATGGAGGGAGCAACGAAAGCAATTTTTACCTGTGTGCAGGTATC